GATCGTTGCCATCATACAGAACTCCTACAACGGACTAGATTGCACAGTCGCGCATGGAGGACAGTCGACAGACGCATTCCTTAGGGAAAAAGTCCAAAATAATACTACAGATCAAAATGAGCGAAAACTAATTGAAATTCTTAAGGCAGTCAAAGACTTTGACCAGCTAGATCCATTGACCCACGATTGTATGGACTGTAAGGCCAAAAAAGTGTCACTGAGCCCCAGCCAAATCATCCGGTGGTCGAGTCACTGAGTGTCGAACAGTTCAAAAATCCACGACAAGGTCGAAGACAACCAACGCGCACCAGCTAATCACAGGCTGTGCAGAAGTGGTCGCACTGTAGTGAACGAGGACACAAGTGGGGACAAACAGATGTATCTAATTAAAGGATCTCTTAGTAAAATTTGAAAACCATACGATAAATACTACACTTGCGAAGTGTCCAACAATTGTCGCAAACTTTATTGTTCCTTCGTTCCCATACTAATCACTCTCGTTTCCTTCCCTCTGATCTTCTGAACCTCCTGTCGTCAGGCATTCCACTTTCGATTGGTGATACATTTCACTTATATCTGTCGATACCAGTAGCACACACCATAGCACTGCTTCTTGTACATACTCTTGCTGATATTATTTCTGTAATAACTTAGTTTGTGTTGTACGATCCTCAAAGTAGCCCTAGCACCTGGACACGACGAAAGAGTAATCCACAATAACTGTTAACTGTGACGTGTGACTTGGACGTTAGCTGGTAGGTCAAACCATTCCCACCTAACTCAATCAATCGACATAGATCATCTACGTTGATGATCTACAGTATGTAAGAAGGATTCCGCCTCTTCGTACTACTCTACATATAAATTACCCGCAATATCATACCATCGCCAAATGGCTAGCTAAAGTTCTACGACGTCAGAGAACAACTCAATAGATAGACAACTACTTATTCGTTAGATTTCTTTGATTCAATATCAAGCACCAACATAACTAGAAAGATGACCTCACTAGATATTACCTCTCTTCTTACAAGTGTACCTCCAACGAAAACACCCCCCCCTTCTGTGTAATCAAATTGAAAACAACAAACTCGATATCCGTATCCCAATACACTATTTGGAAGAATATCCTCGATGCACTCTGAATGTCCAATTTAAATTTAACAGTGAGTTCTATAGACGAACTGACGGCGTAGTGACCGGGTTTGTGGTATTCCTATTGTATGTTTGTGAAATGTCTGTCATTAGTATGATTGTTTTTTTTCGCGTAACGATATTTACGATGTCATTTTTAATTATGAAAGATAGAAAACACAAGTGCAACACTATTATTGACAATGATATATATTCTTAGATATATGATGAATAAACTTTGATATCAATGATAATAACAATAATAATAATGGGTAAAATGAACCAATGACTAATATGAAATAATTTTAAAGTTCCAGGAAGGATCATGAAAAAAAGGAAGGAAGAAAACAAATCAAAGAAAGGAGGCAAAAAGAATAGCTCAATCAATTTACAACTGTGTTAAAAATTAAAAGCATAGGAATATGTATAAGTGAATAATTACAACAATGAAATGCCGACCTATTGATATATAGATATGAATTTAATAAAACAAAGAACACGAAACCAGTTCATGAACAATTCATTTATATGAGAGAAAAGAAAAATAATATTTATATATAGGAAAAAAGCATGATTGACATGTGTACATACAGTTTGTTGATTATTGTAATAATAATAGTGATAACGATACGTGTTAACATTATCATTATTAACGTTGATTTGCTGAAAATCGATAAAATGTAGCTTGTAAGTACGTATGATAATTTAAAAGATTGTCGAGACTCATGTGAAAGGAAACTAGTAGAAAACATTGAAGTGTTACCGACATCTTACAATAATAATAATAATGATAATAATAATAATAATAATATTGGTAAATGACGCTGGTATGGATGAAGACGACAATGAATGAACACCATCTACCTCTAGGAAGATTTGTATGTTATAAAATGTAAAGATATAAATGGTTTGAAGAAATGCTAAATAACTGACTGAAAGATCAATAAAAGTACAAAATAATAGTACAAATGTGAATTCGTGAAACATTATCGTTAAAATGCTCATTTATCATTTCGAATAAAGACACAGTTATACAGATAAATACATATGACATAGTGGAAAAAAATATGACAAAGAGTAGGATGGAGGAGAAAGAATACATTGATAAAAATAATGGAAGTATATCTAACCAGTATATATATATAGGTGGGTATAATGTCCACTGGTTCTTTAATGAGTTTTTACACTCGGTTCATTTTCATCATACTAGAGGTATAAAAACGAAAAAAAAACATTTTCACATTTTTTACTAGTAAATGATAAAACAATGTGATTATATCCGAAAAAAATATTTTCCTAAAGCAAGCATCTACTACAAAGCGCAATTAGTATGTCATCATATAGATAATTTAGAATCTGTTGTGTTATGAGTTTATCTTTGGTTCTGTAAATAAAGATTAATGGAATGCTGATCAGTGTACTAAATAAGATTATTCACCACATGATAATCGACTGATATGTTTCTCTCAGCAATGAATAATAACTGATGAACGATCCTCAAAAAATTGTTTAAATAAAAAAAAACAGTAGAATTGACAGTTTTTCTGAGTAGAATAAGACAAAGAAATTAAGCACATTAACTAATCCGTCTGTAAGTTTAGAAGATTCAGGAAGCACAAATGGTTTGAAGATCTGGTTGTTAAAGTTTGCTGAAGTAATAGCCATAATAAAAAGAAACTCTAGACTGATTTATGTAACCAAAAGGAGGTAGTGACCAACCTATTACTACCCTAGCATATCGTTCATGTCATTATTTTAATTTTGTTAGTGTTCATCTTGTTATATGGTCCTCCCTTACCGAAGTCTTATTTTCTGTACATTAAAACCACTTGAACATTTCCATTCATTCAATTCTGTTCACTCTTCAAATCCTGTTCAATTACTACGTAACCTATCTTATCAGTTTTTAATTACAGGAATCTTATATAAACCTTTCTCAACCTCTAAAATTATCATACAATTTATCTTATCTGTCTCTGAACCTCAAATAATGTATCGCCCACCCCTTATGTTTTTTAATTCCAACACCAAATGACCTACAACTTGTTCCTACGCATATGTATAGAGTTCATAATAACCTTTGTCATTCTAATTATTTTCATTCATCTATGTCAATTGTTTCACACTATATCTTACTTCAATGTAAAATTTTAATACATATTTGGTTGTAAGCAGCTGATGAGAAACTAAAAAATATAATGAATTCATATTATTTTGCATCTATGTTTGTTCTGGCTTTATTTTAACTCTAATCCGTTTCAATCATACATATTATCACTGAGCTTAATGTAAGGAATATCGATACAGCAAAGAGTTCTCTTTACGATGAATAGATCAAAATTACATTCAATTAATAAATATTGTTGCATCTTTATACTAGATTAAAACTCTATCATATATGATTTGAAATCAAAGACAGTAAATTGATGTGATATTCTTATTTTTCTGTTACTTATATCTTAGTTACCATGATGTAACAAAATATTTATATCTTCCTGAAGTAGCTCGATTTACTATCCACTTGCATTCCATTTGTTCTTTAATTTTTCTTTATGTTACAACTTTTTTATTATATACTAACTTAGTAGTTTGTCTAACTTTCTATAAAAAAAAATAGTTAAACACACACACACACACACAATATAAACAGGATTTTACTCTATTTGATGACAGCATTTATTAGAGCTACACAAAACTTGACCAGTATTATAACACAAATAATTAGAATTTCAATAAGCATGTTCATGATATACTTTGCTTGTTTATTTTTAATGTATCAAGTTTATTTGTCTACAAATCATATTGAAGATAAATCATAACAATATAAAACATAATGAAATCATGATAAAATGCTCAGTTCTAACATTTAAAAAAGGTTTCCATTTGTATATAAAAATTTACCAAAAACAATTGACCTATTTTTTCTTAATCATTCGTTTTAATAGTTTGTTCTAATCATAAATGTATATCGGTCCAAAAAAATAAAATAAAATAAAACATTCACAGTGAAATCGATTAAGAGATCAGATACCTTGAAGTCATTTGATTGTATATTAAGGAAATAGAAAAATGTGATTTTCTGTCATAGGTCAAATCACATTTATGCTTATAAGCATAAGCATAATAATAATATTAATAATAATAATAATAATAATAATAATAATAATAATAATGTGTGCAAATGTCACTGTATAATCAGCTGGCAAACATTTGCCAGTAATACAAGTCAACAGTCTGTCGTCATACGTTATAAATCACTTTTTATTTTAACGCATGATATATAAATATATACGTTGTTGGCCATTAAAACTAAGCACAATATGAAATAAAGGTTGATTGTAAATACCTTTTGCTTTGAAAAAAAGAACATTCATTTCTAATTCTTATTTCTATGGAATGATACAAGAGACGGATGCAAAAAAAAACAAGGATAAAATAAAATCATCGAAGACAGACTGAAAAAATAAAATAACTTTACGACCTGCATCATTCGATTAAGTCAAATTGGATACTAGTCATTTAACAAAAGGTTATAAGCTTTATATACACACTTTTTACTAACAGCATTTTAAAATCTTATTCATTGTTTAGTACTTAACACGAAAATTACGTTAAGTGACTTATAGTCAGCTGATAAGTAGTAGAAATGTGACGAATAAAAAAATATAGATTTCAAGTTATACTTTATACCTAATTTCATGTGACTGGAAAATAAATGGTATTGATAACTGGAATAACTAAAAGCTAATATATAATATTTGACAAAGACAACAATTTTAAGTGAATTTCGTTTAGAGAGGATTCACCCAATAGTTTTAAACATGGAGATAGACAACACTTCAAAGTATCCACAATATAAATCTTACCAGTACATGCGTAGTCTGTGTTTCTTGAGGATCATATACTTCACCTTGACCTAATCCAAGTGAAAATGAAATATCTTCATCTAATTGAGGTGCATTACTTGAAATATTTATTGATGACTGTAACATATGTGCATTACGATATGGATCATGTTGGGCTAACCAACGCAGTGGCATAAATAAGATACTTGACAAAATGAGTAATCCTGCACAAATATAAAAAGATAATATTAAACGCATTGTACATTCTTTATGACCGGTTGATGTAAACTGTATTGGAATAGATTCACAAAATGGACGACTATCTAAACATCCATGACAAGCTTGGTCCGAAAAAAGACCTGAGTATAAAAATAGAAAAGAAAAGGACAAAAGAGAATAATTAGGACGGGCAAGATGGCTGCAATTTATTATCTAAAATAATTGATAATGAATGATAGATGTGATACAGTATAAAATTAATTAGGAAGGAAAATGTTTTAGAAAAATATCACACTCAACATGTAATGGATGTCCGAAACGAAATTTTACATTTATTTATCCGTATTTTCTCTAATTTGTGTCTTGTTGTCCACGTTTGTTGATGATTATGAATAGGAAATTGTTCCATTAAAAAAACATGTTCATTGTGTAAAATGTACTCTATAATGAAAATAACCGCGTCAATTTTATTCACACGTCGATAACTTGCAATATCAGTACTTGATAAATGACTAATTATTAGATGATAACCGATTAAAACCTTATTATCATGAATATAGTTTTCATACATTCGATTGACAGAAATACCTCCTATAGACGAAATATCGATTCAATAAATTGTAGGAATGCACTTTTTTATCGAAAATACTCGATTACACCGTCTGATAAAATATTATGTTAATTTCTTAAATACATTTAGAAGTACACAATACAACAGAATAAATGACATGATGTTTTGTTTACGCTATATTTAATAAAACAAAATGCATAATAATAGGTCTAAACAGTCATAGGGTGTTATAACGTGGGTCAAATGAGAAAAAGTTAATAAACAACAAGTTTAGCACTTCAAAAAATAACACCTAGTCGGATAATTAAAGTTGATAAAAAGACGAAACAGCTGTCATGCCTTCGAATCCTTGATTGATATCATGATTCCGACCATCAGTTAGTTCACCTATATAGCCAGAAGGACCGGTAACATTTACAGTACCATTTGACCCATTAGCCAATGAATAACACGTAAGATCTTAACGTCTATGGGCCATCGAGCTCCTTTCAACCCAGGAGCCAATCAAAAAACGCAGATAAGTGCCAGATTAATTTTTTATTGTACTCAATCCAATCATGACTCAAAAGGCATACGATATTATACATAAAATGACTGGCTACACAGTACATCAAATAAGAATTCATACTTTAAACAATCATACCATAAATGGTAGAGAATGTAGCAAGCAGTACACTATTAATTAACAATAACTAGAGTACAGTAAATCATCTAACGATATTTGATCGGTTTGCTGAAATATATAGAGATTTTACAAAACAATTATCTATTAACTATAAAACAAAAATACAGATGAGAGTAGTTCGAAAAATAGTTCCGAAAGTTCCAACTTTCCGAAATATTCGTTCTGTTATAACAACTTATTAGAATAATAACGAAAAATTCCGTATTTTTAAAAAAAAATCATTAGTGAATAAAATCTCGACGAAGATTAACAAACCATAAACTTGTTGATACGAAATTTTTTTAATGAACCTAGTCAAAATTACCAAATAAATGTTTATTTTTAGATAGTTCACTTGTAAACAACATGTAAGTGTATGAATATACTTATATTGTAACCCCTTTGTTTTTATGATTAATTTTATCAACTAGTAAACATATTCACATAAAAGGTCATAATGTCTAGACATTCAAATGTGTATCGACAGTAAGAGTATGTTAATCAGCTGAAATTTTATAATAATATTATTATCTGAATGGTCGAACTGAAGTAGATAAGTTAAATATATGATGTAACTCATTTATCAAGAACAGATGATTTTATGCAGTCAGTTTTGCATCATACGGTTCATTATGAGACGGTGACTAGTGATGTTAACCAGCGCTACATTTATGATAGGAGAAAGGTTCCATCAACAAACTGACTGGAAGGTAAGTATGCTTTAACCATTCACTGTTCCACAGTCGAAGTAGATAAATTCATTATTCTGGTATTTTATGTGGTCGTTGTTTAGATGACAGTTAAATATTGTGAAAATAATAGTGGTAGTAATCGAGGTTATTTTCCTATCTCAGGAAATTACTGATGAACTGATAGGCATAGAAACATACATCATTGCAATCAAGGTAGTAGTGTAAAGTAATATATACATAGTAGAAAATATGTTGTTTTCGAATAATTCTTTCAAAAATATGAGAAGACACTAGGAATAGATTTTAGAATACGGGATATAACAAGAAATGAATTAGTATCATAGAGCTTACAGAAAATCGAGTGTATGTAAATATAGTAGGGGTGACGAGACACTTTATATAACCACTAAGAAGGAAAAAGTACTGGATATCTATCCCATTCTAGCACGCGACTCTTTAGCAACACACATCTATCACTCGCACCGGGAGTCTAACCAGTAGTGTATCAAACCTTTAGACAGGTAAGTTACAATCCCATACTGCACATTTCTTGTTCTAATTAATTCGCGATATTGCTCAACAATCTTCTGATGCCATTAGTGAGGAATAGTCGCACACCATATATAAGTTTCGGTGGTTGTCTAACTAAGATCAGTTGATGATCTAAGGAAAGATAAGGAGTGTATCCATGTACACTACTACGCTAGATTCTGAGCGAAGTTACGACAATCATACGGACCCCAACCTGGTAGTTTACATCTACTTACATGATAAAGTAAAACTATCAGTGACTGAATGGACTGATACATAGCCTTGGTTTGTTCGCCCCTAGTTTCCTCTCAGCCTACTACTTCTAAATCAAATAACATCGCCCGTCAAAGTAGGAGGTGGTCGGACGTATGCTATACATGCACAATCATGTCAGTTAATGAAAATTCACTACTTCATTAAGTGATTTGTCATAATATTATGTATAGCATTTCACAAGACGATATTAAATAACAATCGTAGCGTTCGATCTTTAAGGTTTCATAAGGAAAAAGTGATTATTCACATGTAATAAAAATGTTTCTTTTAGTATACTACACCATGAGAAAGCTAATGATAATTAAGTCGATAGAGAAAAATACCAGTACATTCAATTCATCGATCCACACTAAGACAAAGAAAATGACTATAGGCTTCAACATTTATTTATGTAAATTAAACAATCTTTTTTTTTACAGAAAAGTTTTATAGGCCGTTCAGCATTGCCGTCGATAACCATTAAAGTAAAAAAAGTTTATTTGGAAGAGCACCCAACGTAAATGAATTGAAATTTAGTTCCATATATAATTAAGAGAAAGGAATAATTGTGAGACTGTTACCTAATCCTTGTTAAGCATTCAACGACAAACGCAACTGATTTTCACAACTATTTTTCACATATGTTAAAAACTATTCCATTAGAATGAACCAAACTATATTTTAATCATTTACTTTGTAATGATATAAATGAGCATAAACCGTACAACTGCTTTTAATAAACATGAAAGACAATAGGAAGATAAGAACATTATTTACCGAATAATGGAGGTCCACAAATTACACCAAGGCCTTGGAAAATAAGTAAATATCCAAATGCATTTGTCAGACGATGAAGACCAAATAACTCAACAAGAATAACACTTCGTAAAGAAATTGATATGGCTGAAAATGAAAAATATAGATCAAAAATGGCAAATAATAAAAAATAAACATGACAGAGCCGGATGGATGATGTAGCGTCAGAAATATTTCTCAGTGGTGATCAAATTATAACAAAGTTTAGTCATGAAAATAACACATAGCAGACGATCTCTACAACAACAAAATTGATGAACAAGTAAATCTCAACTGTCTGAGCTTATTATATCAGCAAGTGAACTAAATTTAATAACACAATAGGTAATTATTTAATCAGAGCGAGACATGCTGTCCTTTGGTTTCCTAGATGTTTCAAGGATTTTTCTATTAGATGTTGATTGGAAGAAATGTTTTTCAGATCTGTTCTGACTTTTGCAGACGTTTGCAAGTAATACTCGGAGGATCTTGAGCAACAAACAAATTAGCAAACAGTCACTTTTATATATAATGAGAAATCTAACGTTGATATTAATAAGGCAGACCAATTTTCTAAGACTCACAGAATTGATCACAGCTTTGAAAAATGAAAATATGCTATTGATTAGTAGTGAATTAAGTCCTAACACCAAAATGAAAATGAAGTACACCAACGAGTTAATTTGATACTTAGCATAAGGAACATTTACGCATCGAAATCTATCCAAAATTATCGACAAAAAGATGTTACTTTATCCAACATCTGATTATATTTATATAACGTTTGGTATCTATATTAATTGTTACTCTGGTCGTTAGAAAAGGTATCCGCCTCGTGAGTTCTGAAAAATATCGTTTATCATAAAGCGTCATAATTCTTCCGGATGGAAATCCTTCAACTCCTAAGACAGAGTTTAAATAGCATAAATTGTTTATTCTAGTTAGCGATTTCTTAGCAAGGTCGTTTCCTACAAGATGGGATTGCTGACCCCATACCCAACCTTCATCCTTTACTTGGGCTTGGGACCGGCAGTAACCTTAGAACTACAGGCCGAGTGTAGCAACAGCCTCTGCATCAGTATGCCTCAACATTCACAAGTGAAAAACCAAGATCCTCAAATACAACACGGAGAAAACCAAGTCAATCACACTTGATGGAGAAGCTCTGGAACAGATGGAAACTTTCACGTACCTGATCAGAATCCTTGATGAACAAGGAAGATTTGATGCAGATGTGAAGGCACGGATTGACAACGGTAACAAGGGTAGCATTTCTACAATTGAAGAACATATGGGACTCAAAACAACTGTCAGGTAACATCCAAATCACAATCTTAAATACAAAAGTCAAGACAGTTCTATTGTATGGAGTCGAGACATGGAGAACTAACACAACCGTCATCAAAAGGTAAAAGTATTTATAAACAGTTATTTACACAAGATACTCGATGTCCGTTGACCAGATACCATCAGCAACAGTCTGCTGTGGGAGGAAAAAGTCAGCTTCCAGATTAAGAGTAAACTAGGAAAAGATGCTGTAGGTGGAAAGGAAACGCATTGAGGAAATCACCAGACTGCATCATGAGGCAAGCCCCCAACGTGGAATTCTGAATGGAAACGGAAAAGAGGATGGCCAAGAAACACATTGTGTCTGGAATTGGAAGCAGACATGAAAAGGATGAATAGCAACTGGGAACATCTGAAAAGGATTGACCAGGACAGAGTTGGATGGGGAATGTTGGTGGGTGGCCTATGCTCCTCCATAAGGGGTAATAGGCGTAGGTAAGTATTAGTTTGGTTCAAAAATGGTAAGTGGAACAACGACCAATTATTAAATATGAAACTATTATCCAGTAAACATAATGAGCTAAAAGAAGTTAGGTTTTAAATGACTTTCGGATGTTTTAGGTAGATATAATTGTGTAATTAATGGTAGGAATAGCCTGAAAACCTAAATATTCATCTGAACTGATTTTTCCACTATGATGAGATGAATTTATGAAAAAGACAATTACATAAATAAAATTTTTTTAGTGAGTCGATTGTAATCAAACAATGATACAACAATATAACTTACTATTAGTTAAACCATACACTATACTACCGAGATATAACAAATGACGCCGAAACTTTAAAGACCATGCTTGCATAAGGTGTTCAGACGAAGACTGGTTCGAAATTTTTGTCAACAGAATACCATGAATTGCTAATGGAAATGAGATAACTGAAAGTCCACAAACAATTAAAGCGAAATTGTTCAGGAGCATAGGATCTACCATGAGAGGAAACCGACACAAAAATTTTCGATTTGTATTCAAACCCTTTTCAATATACAATCCTGTATACAGAAAAACACAAAATAATTATTAATCTACTAAAATCATACACTAACAGATGTTTGAGTGGACAGTAATTAAGGCTCAAATAAATTCAACAGAAATAAACCAATTAGAAAAGAAATTACCTCTTGCATTCCCTAAAACTTTATTCATCAAATAGCAATATGAAAGTATGTTTTATAAGGTCATATTAGGTAGTAAGGTTTTATTAATTATTTGTTTGTTTTCAATTTCATCAGGCCAGTAACCTTCGATTATAGAAATTTTCATAATTTGAAGGATTTTGATACAGGCTAAGATCAACTGCAGAACTACTGAGAACCAAAAAGTATTCGATCGTTATTTGGAACTTCTCAGCAGTATCGTCCGACTACATAACATCAGATCTAATACAGAATCGTCAGTTTCATCTGAGATCATGGAATTAAATAACCACTAGGTAAGAATTCAATCCCTTGCATTTTCCGATTTGAGTGGACTCACGACATTGGATGATTACTTTCCAACGTTATTAGTAACAGTCAGAATTAAAACTTCATTATTCGAAAAGTAAATTAAGACCATATCATATGGAACATTTATGTTAATATAACCATCTAAATTAGTAACACAGTAATTTCTATCGTTTGATATCAAACAGAGTTCTCGTGAGTACTTATCTAGGCCAATCTACTCAGTCTAGTTATTGCACAACCACCATAGATCCTTTCAAAATATTTTACGAAAATGATATGATATTATAACCGGTGTGTTAAAGAATAGCCGTCTATTTAATGACAGCTACAAAATATTTTCGAAGAATGTATAATGTAAAAGTTTGTCAGTCAACACTAATCTTGGTAGTGAAAATGAAATGGATTTGCCTAGTATTTAATTACAATTAATAATTGTTTAGTGTATTGAGAGAATCAATTAGTCTAAGACAAAGAAACCAGTTTGAATATTAATTTACAGAACATTTTTTTTATATCAGTAATAAAAAGACATCTCTGCGTATAAGTGTAGTTTGCACACCTGTTAGCAATATAATGACAAGTTATTTTTCCTTCAATACACTACACCAAATCTTGAAAATAATTTATGCTTCATGCATAGGAAAAATTATAATAAACTGATCCATAACTTGGAACTGAATCCAATTTTACGCTTGAAATGTAGCTCAATATGGAAAAACAAAAAGAAGAAAACTAAATTGTAATAAACACTAATGATGTTGTACAGAAAATCGTCCCCTGAGTATTGATTAATGAAAATGCATATTTTGAAAGCTTGCGTACGATAATTTATGCATACTTCATCTCAAACCAATGTAAACAAAATATACTTATGACAAAAAAAAGATACTTTTAAGTATGAAAAAAACATGGAGCAGTTGGGTATGATAAAAATTCATCTGATAAAAGATATACAGATAACAAATAAGGAAGAATCATCAGTTATCATAAAATAGTATAAGGATATGAAAAACAGGTTTATGTGAATGAATAGAAAAAATAATAATAATAGATTAATGAGGAATAAATAGTTATGGGTAAAATAATATGTATCTAATATTTTGAGGAAGATAAGGGGAAAGTATATTTATAAAAATATTTTTCTAATGAATAATTAAGTGATAACGAATCAGGACTATTAGGTAACAAATGAAGGCTTGAACCTGAAACTCAATGATTAAAATTTAACTACCAACGGTTACTCAGCTAATCTCAGTCGCTAGAATACCTTGGTATTAACTTTGTTTTTCATTAGAGTAAAACATAAACATTGTTTCTTATGAGTTCAATCATTAAATGTGTCACCTAATTATATAATACCATTTACTTCTAGTTCACTCATTACACACTTGGAAACAAACTACACAGATTTTACCTATATCCTATCCTTAGAAGTTGATGCAAAATCAAAAGAAATCATTTGAATTAATCTAACTTCTGAAAATCATCTAGAGAATTGTTACTATTAAATATAACCCTCCTTTTTCCCAAACAAATAAACACAATTAATCAATAATGAATAGAACTAAACAGATGTAATAATTACACACAAAAATTTAATAAACTTAGACTTAAGAGGATCAGAAATGTGCCCCATAACATAGAGAAGTAGAAAATTTGAAGCTTCTTTTTATATTGCTTTTATTGTTATTTATTATTATTTATTTGAACGCATTAATATCGGAACAAGAGGGCACCCAATATATATGCACCACCCAAAACAATGAGAATTCGAAGAGAAAAAAAAAGATAAGGAGCGTAAAAAGAGAACAATAACGAACAGACTAGTGTAAGGTAGTGTAATAATAATAATGCGACCAACAATTCCCCACCGACCACCTAAACGACTCTCTTCTGTGCCTAGACGCCCGACCTGAGCATTCAAGTCTCCGGCTAGTACTACAGTATCTGTCGAACGCACTTTCTAGAGAAGAGCAGTTAACCGGTGATAGAATTTATCCTTGATTGCATCCGGGCTGCAATCTGTCGAGGCATAGGCGGAGATGACGAAAAGACATCGTTTCTCACGCCTATTTCTTCTCACTTTGATGGAACTCTCTAATCTAACAGCACATAACCGAATGTTAATGGGGATCCAATCGATTAGTGCTGCCTCAACTCTAGCGCTTAGTGCGACACTAACGCCAGTAAGACCAAACGAAGATGCCACAGGGTTCCCAGATAAGCGCCCGTAAAACAAGCTTTTCGAAGCGACAGATGAAGAGCGAGTTTGTAGTACTTCACCAGAGTCTTGAATACGGGTCTCAAATAGACAACAAACGTCGATATTAACTTTCCAAAGATACAGCCAGCCATATCTGTTGTCCGACCTGCTTTTATTGTTGTCCAAATGAAAGATAAAAGAAATTTGTCACACAAACTAATTTTAGCTTACTCTTGGCAAATCAATTTCTTTTCTACTCACTCGAAAATTCCGAATGAACCACTGATAAAAATTGAATAGTTTGATTAATATCTTGCCTGAATCACTGATAGTACAAAACAAATAAGCTTTGTAAATATTTTAGGACATTATTACCGTCTAATCTATTAAGGTGAATGAAACTCCAAAGTATATGGAATTAAACGACCCCCGCTATTATGTAACGTTTCACATTTTAATATTAATATTATTAAATGAATTTGTCAGTGTTTAAAACAATCAAATACATTTGCAATCAAAAAAGTATATGATTCACCTGCAAATAAACGACCAAGAATACTAGCACAACCGATCGTTAAAAAAAGGGATTCTGAACTAGGAAATGCATAGTTTCTCTTTAAAGCGTTGATATATTTAACAGTTGATTGGTCAAATTGACCAGATGTTCTATTATATTTAATCTCATCGGTCAATCCATTCGGACACCAAAATGAATTAAAATAACATTCAAGACCACCGTAATCCAATAAAAGTGGAAGGTAGTGAAATGGAACTAAAAATACTGTAACGAGGAGGAAGGAATAGAAAAGAAAATAGTATGAGGAAAAAAGTTGGGATATTAAAAAATGTAACTTCATTTAAATATGTAAATTGTAGCCATGGACGTCAAACTCACTGATTCGTTAAACTAGCAAGGAAATCGATCCTTCAGATAATAAATATGGCATTTCAATTTATTAATAAATGAATAAAACAAGACATGCAACTACACAGGATTTTCTAGGATATGATTAGATTAGTGATTCATTGGTGAAAGTATTCAATGTCTGGTCACTAATTGAAACATTAGTACTACCTTATGCTGATCGCAATTTCAATAGCCTAATAACATCTCCGCTACCCAAGTAGGAATTGTAGACTAAAGACCTATACTTAAATCTGTACTCATTTACTGAGTTGCATTATTAGATGTTGACTAGCGATTAAAAGCGAGTTCAGAAACTGGGTTTATCGCTGATTTTTACCTGTGTCAAACAAATCCATCCAACTAAAAGAGAATAATGGATTTTATCAAGAAGCGTCATACTTTGTACTTTTCTATTTATGATTCAAATGCAGTACATTTGTTGACAATATCAAAAGTGAAGTTTGCATATTGGGTGGTACAGAAAAATTGTGCTTAAGAGCACCGTATCTAGAGGTATATAGTTAGTAAAGATTTTTTACAACCATTGAACTCATTTCAATCATCCTCTTTTTAATTGTTTAGGGGTATTCTTCTATCAAAAAAGAGATTACGAGATCTGTCGCATATTTTACAGTTATTAATCAATTTTCTTATGATGAAGTAATATCTTTAACACTACACAGATAAATATCTGGATGAAAAATATGATTATTAGTTAGTATTCTCTTGCTAGAATAAATGAACACTTGATAAATATAATTAGTATGCAGGAGAATAGAAATAAATGTAATTTATTTACATTGAAAAGAGGTATTCATCATATATAATTAAGTTATTCCTATAGTAACCATCACAAATATTATCTTATTCTAACGGAGAGACGAAGGTATTAAAATTATTTCTACTATATAAATTCACAATAAATTCTAATATTCAATTAATGGATAGTTAATTAATAAATGAAGCCTAACTCATAATCATGATATCGGATGATATTTCTTTTAGAAATTCGACATTAAAAAAAACATATATGATACATTCAACGAACTTTGATAATTAACTAGAACCAAATCTTCATAAGGATTTTCCTTAAATGACTATACTGACTCAAGTTGACAAGAGGATAAAGTATAATTAAATAACTTCAGTATTTTATACATTACTGTTTCAGAAGAAACAGAAACTTAATCACAAGACCCAGAACGTTCTTGTTATTCATTACAATCAATTAGAAAAACTAAGTACACTTGAAATTAACTGCTATATACTTATCAGTAACCAATTAAAAAATATTAGCTCTATCACTTTATTTTAAAAAAGAAGCCGGAAAATTTGAAATTCACTCTTACCCAACATATTTACAAAACATGCAATTGAAATAACAATAAATGTAAAACTCTTAAGTATTTGATTATCTAACATATCTGCGAGATAGGAGAATAATTCATTGAGTTTTGGTGAAGTAATAAATTTTTGAAGATTAGAAATACTCTTATTTTGTTTTGATGAATGAATGAGTACGTCAAATTTTTGATTATCAGGTATAAGTGATTTATTTCGAGTTAACATGATATTCTCTACAGGAATAACACCTTCGAATAGATTTGGACATTGATTTACAGTGGGATTATGTGATTGAATTGTCAACTCTTTTAAAGCGTAATTTGCCTGTATTGAAAAAAAGAAAGGATCAATAAATTAGACAAAAGAACAAATCATATATAGTTAGCTGGTTGGTAAAAAAACGAAACAGAGGATACAAAAAGCAAGACTACTAATTTTATTGTGAGACAAATTTTCATGTCTATTAAGCTTGATAACAAAAAGTACAAAAACCAAGGATTATAGTATAAGAAACCGCATCAAACTTGACAAGTGGTAAACAATCTTATGTATTGGCATATTAATCAAATACAATTCGAAATCATATCTTTTATATTATATTTAGTGTTATTTATGTTAATGTTTGGTGTTTATTAATCAAACAGCAAAACATTTTTTGTAGACCGTTGTTCTGTTTAGCGCTAGTGATGAAGATTCTTTCAAGGAGTCAGTCAGTCAGCTACAACGTAGGACCAGGCACATATATGCATCGGTCCAAGTTGCCATACCTCATTAACACAACATGATGGACACCGGATTCATAAAAGTAGTTAATTCAGAGGTAGTAATATATAAAAGAAAGATTACAATAAGAATATAGTACAGGAAGGAAGAATTAGTTCGTAGAAAAAAAGATATGAAGCGATTTTAATCTCTCAGTTTAAGGGATGACAGAGAGTGTATACACCGACGCCACTGTGATCGATTCTGAACCATGTCACCAAGAGTCTCCAACCATTGGTTACGATATTCACGCGGACCCCAATCAATTAGTCTGCATCTACCAACATGGCTCAGACTAGAAGTTAGTAACTTCAAGCACTGATGCCACGTTTTGGTTTGGCTGTCCCTAGCTTTCTTCCAACCATCTCCAACACCGGTTAGCGTTGCGCGTCGTGGTAATCAGTGTTTGGGAATACGCAACACGTGGCCCAACCATCTCAGTCAATGAAGATTCACAACTTGATCAATTGATTTACATTAATTCCCTAATACCCTGTGTCTAACCTCACTATTACTTACCCGGTGATCCCAACAGACGCCAGCAATATTTCTAAGGCATCTGTGGTCAAATACCAGTAGCTTACGAGTATCTTATCAAACAAATAACAAAATCTACTTCATCGTTCACTTCACTTCAAAGTCTTTATGTTACTCCTACTCCTCTTTCAAGGAGTAACATAAAGACTTTGAAGTGAAGTGAACGATGAAGTAGATTTTGTTATTTGTTTGATAAGATCGATTTATCGATAATCAATTTATTCGCTGAACATATAATTAGGAACTTATTTCAATGTTCTAATTTACTTTTTTTTTTAAATTAGTGTTACAATGGTATAAATCATTTAACAAAAGGTTAAAAAATTCCCCATAAGGATAATTTCTCATTCAATAATTTCTGTGTATAAGAGATTGATACAACAACCTTCATGTATCTCTTGCTATAAGGTAAACACCATTTTATCGACCATACTTCATGTAAAATTTAGTTCAATTAAAGTTATCACATCCGTTTCAAGTGAAATTTTAAATAAAAATAGCCTTGAAAATAAAAAATAAGTCCTCAGATATTCAGTTTTAAGAGTAAACAGGAATTTAATGAATGATCACTGTAGTCAAACTGTTGAGGCAAGTTCAATGATATATTCACAGTCTACATATATTACCTTGAAAATATATGGATACAACTTTACTGAAATTCCTGAAGTAAAACACAGAAATGAGATAATATACAGTGAACCTAAACAACAACCAAGTCGACTTATTTCGCACCATTTACCAGTGTAATGACAATTAGAATATTCGGGTCACAAATTAACTTGTTAAGCTATTTTTATTGTCATAAGTCAACCTGTCAATTACAAGCAACTTAGAATCTGGCACAAATATCTATAGAGCCAAGTTGCAATATCACATCAGCACAGTGAGCAGTAATATGACCTGAAATGAGAGATTTGAGAATTACAGTATTTTTCTGTACCGGAAGAAGCATGAGGGAGAACGATACAAGTTAGTTTTCTAAGTAGAAAAATGTTGTTCGCCAAGTACAATAATAAACATTGTCTGGAATTCACAGACTTCCGTGTCATAATCTCTTAGTTAAGCGAACATAACTAATTGATTGTCGTCTGTCGTTAGAAAAATAAACGTGAAGATAACAAATTCATGTATCGTGAACAAAATTTCGACAAAATATTGTTAATTTTGATGAAATAAGTTTGTGTGTATATGAATGTAGTAAAAAACAAAAAACAAGTCATATGAATTGTTCTGGATAAAGCCTTTTTTTCATTGGTTTAAAATTGCCATCAATATAGGTCATATGAAACAAAGACTAAATGCATAAATTTTTAATTGGATATTATATATATATATATTCCAAAAAAATCAACTGTTGTAATAGGGCGTTTAAAGGTCATATTCAAAACTCAGTCATTTCGGCCGTTATCAAAAATCCCAAGATACGATAGTATTATGTTACCATTATTACGACTAAGCCTATATGAACATTCATACTCCGGGCATAAGATGATCACCCGACGACAGTTAGTAATAGATGCGATGCTCGTTCTCAACTCTTCGGTATAAGATGTAAAATGATCACTAATATAAATAACTCTATTTTATTAAAATGTATCGTATTTAGGACTGTTAAACAATGGCAACCAGAATGAATTCTCATACTCATCGTTTGCAATTATTAACTGGATATATTAGCGTATTAAAAAGATATAACTAACCGGTTGGTGTATATAAATACAAATAAAGAAACAGTATATTCTGAAGTTTTTTTATCTTAAGTAATTTATAACCGTTTAATACTACTTATTAGAAACTTCTCATAAAAGTACTCAATGTTTAAAAAGAAAAACATCATACTATTCAAGTGGTTGATTTTTATGGTTACATAATAATAAATAGACAAATATTAAAACTATCTACGAGTGTGATATGAAATAAATTTTGTAATATTTTAAGAAATTCGGGCCAATCAAAGTTTTATTACAAACTACTTCTGTATAACCTAAATCAATAATTCAGAAAGAGATTGTGTAACTCCTCTCTCTCTCTCTCTAACATTTCCATCAGCATACGTGTGAATTATAACAGAACTTTGGTTCACTCTACTGTTTTTTAAAGAAAGAAACTATATCAAAAAAATTTGATAAAATCGAAAAGATCAATAAAATCACATAGGTTTTTTTTAAAGGAGAAAAGTGAGAGTGCATTCATAAAAATAATATTAGCATTTATTATTTATGTTTCGAAAGAAGTATGTATGTAAACTTACATCACATGGTAATTGTTTAGATGTTGTATATTCAGGCACATGATACAAGGGAAGTTTATGTTTATTACCAGCGTAGAAAAAATCTGGACGATATTTTGGACGACTTAACTCACGACGTATATCATTCAGTATAGCTAGTTTAATAGATTGATCTAACAGAAGACTATTCAATTCACGTGATATAATATGCCCTGTATAAGAATCTAAACTGATTAAAGATGTTAATGCTGAAGGTGAATCAGGTGTTGATAATTTCAATCGAATATGCTTGAAAGGAATAAAAAAACATATATGCATATTTATATACATTTATAAGCATAATGAAAACACAAGCAATGTTCACTTAAAATATTTCTATAAATTTAAAGATTGTGAACTAATTAGGAATTGTTTCATTCTTTTATTAAAAATTTAAATACTATATATTTTAAGATATATTTTGCTTCACTTTTAGTATCTGCTGAGATGAGAAATTAATTTATCCACGTTTTTCATTGTTACACGTCATTTCTTTCATCAAAGAATGACTACGATGATATAATACTAATCCGTATTACTTGCAGTAACATTTCATGTTATGTAATTGATTACTATCGCTTTTAGTTTGTTATATCTGTTACATCCATCATGGTCATTGTTCGTTACCATGAAAATCAGAATTATTCTTTTTCAATTTTTTGACTTCTATATGGAATATAAAGTTATCCAGAAAATGCCATCTCTTTATTAGCGGTGTGGATTATTAATGTAGAAGTGTTGTGCAAGTTACATAGGGTCTATTCAAGTTCTTATTTGTTTTATAGTATTAGAAGAGACTTCAATTATCCATTAATAGACTTTAGCGTGGGCCAATCAGAAACCCCAATACCTTAATCGTTATTGTCGTGATATAACAGTGTCAAATCAATCTGCGGGTCAAGTCTTCTCAGTGTTGACAAAAGTTTCGAACTAACATTAAAATAATTTTAATGTGTGACGTGCAATGTACAGTATTCATCTTAGATTTAAGTTATCTTTCATAATGTGCTGGTTATAGAATTAGAATGAACTAAAAATATAGAGGCCAATGAACTAGACAAGAGTCGGTTTCAATAGAAATTCTGTGACACAACAAATTGTTAACAACTGTATAAAACTGTATATGTTTTCATTTAACAGACAAAAGTACCTGAAGACTATCAAAAACATCTGTAGCATTGGCTCACTGAGATGATTTTATCATCTAGTCGGTCATTTTGCTTACTGACGATTATCCTTTTCAAAAATGTCTGAAAACGCAGACATTAGACTTTCATTATTGATATTCTTGCTTATAGTAACAAATGACATACAATAGTTCATTTACACTTTCAAAGTAACTCCGATATAGTAATAAAAATGAACTTCCGAATGATTGAGTGATTCATGTTCTTTAAGTTTTACCTTGGCCGGGAACTGCCATCAACTATATATGATTAATAGGTTGACGAAATCCCCAAACGGATACAAATAAAATAACCGTTTAACACTCATCATGTCTTGTCAAGAGCTATGCAGGTGACAGATGATTACTTATCACAGAGTATTTAAATGTGCAAGACAAGTAATGATTAATGGATGCATCCAAAGCATCTAACCCACGTGATGGAATTTATGTAAAGTGAAACCGCACGAAAATATAAACCTTTATCCACTATAATAAAACTGTAAGATGGTGGTTGAAGTTAGTCGACAGGATACTCTGAACCTAGGCTTCATGTTGTTATGGGCTTGTTAGCAAGATATACCTGTAATCTTGAGGTAGCTGATGTTCCCTGAAGTGTTCATCCATGTGTCACACAGATTCACAGTCAAGGACCTAACTAGTGGGCTATCCGGACTGCGACCGAACTTCTATAAAACTAGGACGCATTTACAATTGATTGGTAACTACTCAGTGACTAATGTCGTGTATATCAAGTCCTATTTGCTGCTGAATGGATTTAATCGATCAATCACCACCTTACAGCTACACATAGTGCGCGCGATGTCAAGTCACATAGACTAGTGACCACAGTGTAAATTGATCAATAGACTTCAATCAACATTAAGGACTTGACACATATAAAATTGGTTAATACATAGTGACCAATCAATTGCGAACCAGTGAGAAAACAACAAGTGTGTAAATTCTATCTAAACAAAAGTTATGGAATAAGAAAAGAGGCACACGGTATCATGGGAGAAAAATGAAGGCGATTTAGAGAATTGAATTTTCTTTTTGACGATTCCATATGCTTATGCCGCACAATCGCATTTAAAGTTAACTTTATCCGTTAAATATTATTCTATAATAAGATAGAATGATGCTAAATATGTAGAAGATTTGAAATGATATGCTATCAAGACTTGAAAATCAGATATTCAAAGGAAGTTATGTGGTAATCAGTTGATGAGAAGTGCAAAGATAAAGATAATTGTCCACTTGACAGCTATTAAGAGCAGAATAATTAAAAATTGTAATGATGGTTAATTAGTAGTTGTGAAAGTATTTGGAAAGGAAGAGAAATAATGAAACGAGAGACGATAGATTCTAGAAGACAAAAATTCAGGTAGGACTGAACATACTGTTTTTGTACACAGTGGTTAGGCTTGAACTTGTGAATAGCAATAGTCTATTTTGCATATAACTTTTTTTTCATTTTCATTCCTTTAGAGCCGACCTTTCTGACTGTACGTGTGGTTTTGAAGGAGACTTTTGGTGAAATAGAGTGATCGGAATTCACTGTAATCCTTTAAAGAGTCAAGCAGGGTTATGTTATGAGACGCGTTTCGAAAGCGCTCACTTTGGGTGGACAATATAACCTGCTTAACATGAACAAGTATGGAATCAATAAGTAATGCGTATATGGCCGCTTTCTTACAGTGTACAGATAAAGTTTATTCAAAAAAAACAAATAGTATTGAATAAATGCTTCATTTACATCCAAAATAAAACTAGTTATTTGTAAAAATCAATCTAACAATCAGAAAGTATGATATTGATTTTATGATATAATGAATAATTTGTTCATCAGAAACGTATTTGGGTCTTGTTTGAAATACAACTGATCTCAACGTTACGGACTAAGGAGATCTACACAGAAGTAAAAACCACTGGTAAGTGTTTCTTAAAAATTTACCGATTTTTACAGCAAATTCAGTTTTGATGTTTACCTTCGAATGAAATAAATTATAAAAATAGCTAGTATGTGGTAGGGGACATCAGTTATCTGAGAAAAACAAAACTTTCCTCAAATGTAATGTGAATGAATGCTGGATATTGTACATAAACCCTCCTATAGTTAATTAAAATCGCTTTTTGTCGAGGATAAACAATAATCTAAAGAGCTGTCTGAACTCGGGGCACACTAGACAGTTATTTCATCTAGGTTTGAAACGTTTCCCTATTCTACACCAAAAAATCACGATATCAAAATTTGGACAATTAGGCTCATTGAAATGAAATCAAGAAGTTCACATTCACAACTACAGTCAACAAAAGATATAGGTGGATGGTCAACATTTCTTTGATAATACTTATCCTGCCCCCGACAAGATGAAACTCAGCAATCAAAACTTCTAGCTAGGACTTCGGGAACACACCAGAATGCTAAAAACAAGTTAATGAAGACTATCTTCCATGTGAACAAACAACAAACCACTTTACAAAACATATTATTTCAATAAATTACATTACCAACTAATTTTCAATCTTTATCATACATTATGACAATGGTTAAATAATGCCTAGTAGGTAAATATTCCAGTTAAGTATTGTTCTATAGAACAAAGCGAGAATGAAACTCTACAAATTTAGAAAATAATTATCTTGAACAATAAGATAATACATACAGATTCTTGTGCAGAGATAGAACGGTTCACTGCTGTTGATAAATGGCGTACAGGAGCAGATGAAGCTACCGAATCTCTAGCATTTGAAACCAATTCACTATACAAAGAGGAGGCACATAAACTTCTTTTTCCTTTCCATATATTTGTAGCTACTGATCTATGGCATATATCATATAGATAAACTTGACTGACTCTGTCATAATGAACATTTCGTGAACTATTTGTATATGGTGTACTAAAATTTGCACATGAATCAATACGATTATCACCACTAAATCGAAAAGATGATGCTATAACTTGTCTTGAACCAGTTGATATAGAAGTAATTGATGGTGAAAACGGCAGTCTACTTTGTCCGTGTAATTTTTGTAAGATTGCACGTGCTATACGTCGTACAGCAGCACGACTGAATTGCACAGGCGGAGGAAGTACTGCAATACAAGGCTAAAGTAACACACAGAAGCAAATAAAAGAATTACAATTTGTTTAATTACAAGTGAAATCAATAACAAAATAAAACTGCAAGAAATATTTCAAATTATAAGCAAAAATTAAATAAAGTACATTTCTATCCGAATAGCTAACGCTTGTTTAACAGAAGAAATCAGGTTCAAATATCTGACAGAGCTTTTGTCATCTTTATTGGAATTTTCGCTAAATCATGATACACATATGCGTCTCTAATCACCTTCATATTTATAAATATGTCAATATAAGTAATTACTTTGATTTTAAGTTGTAAGCAGCTGATGAGAACATAACGAAATAAAATAAATTCATATTATTCTGCGCCAATCTTTGTTTTCGCTCTCCTTAAGATTATAAAGGAAACTTTGTTTATGGAAGGTGACTGGCTAAGTACTTAAATGATTCTTTCATAGCAAACTGAAAAATATATACACATCAAAACTATAAGATTGCTTCAATACGATGATTGTCGCATTAGAGAAATGCACTATTTTAAGAAATAAAATTAATCATGGATATTTGTAATCATAAATCGAACCAGGGAGGTTAAACAAATAAACTGAGACAAACATTGTCAACAAAGAGCCTAGTACAGATGTGCGTAGGTTCAATTTGGCATAACTGATTAACACAAAATGAAAACAACAAAAAGATCGAAATATTATAGTAGCGACGATACGAGTAAAGACTAAACCTTAGAAATATAAGTTGAGCAAAAGTATGTATGAAGGCATACTCAAGGTCAAGATCGAAAGGAGGATAAAGAGTAGATGAATGTGAGCCGTTGCAAGAGATTCTGAGCTGTATCGTCCAACGTCTGAACCAATTTCTTGAATATCCTATGCTTAACCTCGACATAGCTCATCCAATTGCTCTGAAAACCCGACCAATGCTTCACAGACACCTTTGGTTGAAAACTTGAAAGCTACTCATGTCTACTTTCACAGACCATGTCCCATACGAATAAATTGGAACAGAAGGGACTAATACGTAATATAAACGCCATTTGTTTGTGAAATGGACATTTCGCCTATGTTATGAATTATTCAAGATGTCAAAAACCAATCGGGTTTTCCAAATCCAGGCCATGATTTGGTTTGGCACCAACTCATTGTGGCTGATGAGACTTCTAAGATAAGTAAAGTGGCCAACGCATTCAACTACTTCACTACCAATAACTAGTCCGCGAGTTGCAGATAAATTCTGAAGAAATATTTCGGATTTAGAGGGAGATAAATGCATCACAGACGTGCTAGCGTTGTTGCTAAATGCGATCAAAAGACTCCGCACCATGTCCGAGTCTGCAACAACCAGGACTGTCATAATCTTTAAAGGCCTTAGCAGTTAAGTTATCAGGACCAACTGCCCTCTCTCTAGAAGTTCACGTAACCAGAGAATGAATACAAATACTATGTGCAACTTCTACAGACAAGAACGAGTTAACATGAACTTGTACGCTTCAGAAGATATGTTACAGATTTATGATAAATATTTATAAAGCTATGAACCACTAGAAATACCGTTATTATATCTACATCTTACAACATCCTATCTATTGCTCAAAGAATTTGCTTATATGTTATTTATGCAACGTTATATCACCATAATCTTATCAAGTGGATATCGAAATTTCATTAACAATGTGAATACAGACAGGAAAAGATAGATAATAATAACAATCCGCAATTTTGTACAATAATTTATTGAAAACCTGTTTTCTCTTAATTATTATCTCCTACTCAGATATTTTAAATTGTGTAGTGTATAATCAATAGTTCTCCATTAGTAAAAAGAGAAATGATTGAAGAAAACAACAGCACAGAGCATTTAAAAATTGTATTCAAACACCTGTTTTAGTGTAATTCAAGCCGTTTTATTTTGTTTATTCTTAAGAAATAAATTCTATCTGGAATTATTAAAATGAATGTTGAATTATTACACTAAAGAGTACTTTGTAATGTCATATGTGCAGTTGAGGGGACAATTATTTGATGATTTTACAAAAGTAAATAGATCATTTATTTAGTTCGAGTCTACCGTCTACATGTCCTTCTATAAGTCAATCCTGTCGCTTAGATATACATACTGAGTTGTCGAATAATTATAATTTCACTTTTCATTATACAGTTTTCTATGAGACCTTTGTTTTCTCTCTGCCCATTGGATTGGTCAGGAGTTAATAGTGTGGATAAAAACTGAATCATAACGGCGATCATAACATATATTCAAGTTCCATAAGCTACGGTTAGCAGAAAGTATATTGCTGAACGGTATACGTCGATAAGATTATTGACTTGTTCAGGTCCCAGATTACAAATTTTGACATAAGTAAAGAATGATCAAAATGGTATGAATACTTAGTGTAGGCAAATAATTCATTCTCAGTTTATATTTTTAATATGCGCTGGCACTACAGATCAGAATAACTATTTCTCGTTGTTGGTGAATCCTATGCTACGGTTTGATCTTAAGCCATAACAGAAACCTCAGCATACAATTATGAGTGTACAATGAAAACGAGGTAAATAATCATTTATTTATTTACTTTTAATATATAATTAGCCTAATTGTACATTTCATTTTATCCTAATTATTTCCAACTATTAAATATTTCTACACAACCATCATATGAAGTCTTAACGACTGCAGAACGTTTCATTTTTTTGAAATTATGACTGTTGAATTATATCGTTATAAATATGATGATCAACATCACTGAATCAATAAATAGAAAGTTATATTAACTGGTTACAGAACAAAAAACAGTTCAGTCGACTAACATATATACAGTTATTTGAAGATAAATAGTATGAAGTTTCAATGATTAATTATTTGAATAAGGGATTAACACAGAATAATATGAATTTATTTTTATTTTGTGGTTTCTTCTGTTCACAAACGTGGGTCGATAATTAAGCCAAAATGATTGGATACGTCAAGTACGATAAAGTTGGAAATAAATTTTGTTATTTCTTACAACTTGGCTTCAAATAGAATGTAAGTAGTGGATTAATTAACCACAGAATAAGTGCAAGGTTCCCTAGAACAAACAAAAACTGACATTTTTCAAAATATTCAATTGTATTTACAATTTACAAGTACGCGTCAAAGCACATACACTGTAAGAACAGAAAAGAGAGTACATATTTGTAATCCTGAGCACATTCTAAAGAACTTTAGACTAAAAGGTATCACAGCCTCAAATAATGCAATAGTTCAACATTTTTAGTCAATACCGGTTACATTATCGACTTTTGCCGATCTGCCAAAATAGTTCACAGACAAAAAAGACACAAATTTTTTTACGTTTTGCTGAAGCAGTAGCTATTAGAAAACTCAAACCAAATTTATATATCAAAAAGGAGACAGTTGCCAATTTATAACTACTATGGAAAATTAATCATAATCGTGGTTTGTACTTTACTTAGCACCTATCTGTAATTCTCTCTAAATCTGACACTATTATCTGCGCAACCTATAGTTTCAATTGTCAAATTATACATAATTATAACCTACGCCCCTGAATGTTTTCTACATCTAACCTGCGATGACCTTACATAAAGACTGTCGGTTCAACAATTTTTAGGTCATTAATATTTATCACTTAATATTGTTATATTTCAACACAAACATGATTGTAAGCGGTTGGTAAGCAATCAAGAAATAAAAATGGATTCTCATTATTCTTCATGCTTTATTAACAAATTGTTAAAGGGAACTAATTGTGTGAAGTTTTATTAAATAATCGAAGCTGAAATTCTTCGGAAGTCACAAGGCCGATGCCCCTTCTAACAACCAGAGCAATAATTTTTATAGGTACATGGAATGTTTGGACAATGTGGAAGATTGGGAGAACCAACTAAACAGCTGTGGAAATGAGAAGATACAACTTGGCGGTGAGCGAAATCAGCGAAACGCATTGGACACAAAATGGGAAGAAAAGGTTAGATTCGATAGAGATACTGATGTACTCTGATCACGAAGAGGAAAATGCTCCACACACTCAGGGAGTTGCTCTAATGCTGGCCAAAGTAGAATGAAATGCACTTGTAGGATGGGAATCTCACCGATCCAGAATCATCAAAGCATCATTTAAACAAAGAAGAAGGGGATCACAACGAATATTATCCAATGTTATGCACCTACCAATGATAGCAACGACGACATTAAAGATCAATTTTATGAGAGGCTGTAATCAATCATAAAGAAGTGCCCTGGGAAGAACCTGATCATCCTGATGGGAGACCAAAGTTGGGATGGACGACAACGGGTACTAAGATATCATAGGACGACATGGACTGGGAGAAAGGAACAAGAATGGAACCTTCTTCGACCCTACGCTGTACCTGAAATCATCAAAATCATACGGGATTCATGTAATGGACTACACTGCGAAGCCGTGCACGGAGGACAACTGGCAGGAGCATTTAAAGGATTGACCAGGACAGAGTTGGATGGAGAATGTTGGTGGGCGGTCTACGATCATAGGGTTATTCTGAAATTAATTTTCATCAAAGATAGATATTCACAGAAAGAATTGCTAAAACTGAAAAATATTTCTAACTATCTAAGAAAGATGGATCATTTGTTTTGATTGAAATATAAAAAAACGTAAGATTACTTTTAATATAAAAAGAATGGGAACTTGTAAATTTGTACAACCTAGAATGGGATTCTATTTGAATTTTTTTGATAGTATTCCGACTTATTTAGTTAGTATGTATTGTAAAACAATGTAACATTTAATGAAACTGACGATTAAACACACTTAAACCCAAAGATATTGACATTTTATCGTATGTTGACAAGTGAAATTTGCAGAGGTTGATTTTCAAATTTCCAAACTCTAAGTAGAAACTTTATTTTGAATTTTTTTCAATGGAATAACATCTTGTATATTCACGTGTTTAGCAATACAGACAGTATGTTTAAGTCAACCAGGCGGATTATTGTATGCATAAATGTAATAACCAATTATTTTATACATGTCTTTAGAAACATATTGGCAGAAAATAAAACGCGATTTCTTTTTTTAAAAAAATAATAACCTACAGGTTGTGAGTTTGTTTGAAATTTCTCTGTTGTTTGATCAAATGATGACATAGGAAATCCTTCAGTTAGTGTTTGTAGATTTTTACGATTATTATCTAGAGAATATCTTAAACTATTACTCTTTGCATTCGTACTATTACTAGGCTTTAATTGTTCAAAAGATGTTGATTCAAATGATGATGATAAATGATTTTCTTCAAATTTCTTTTGTATTCCTATTTCTTCCTTTTGTTTAGCATTTATTGATACAGTATTATTAGTATTAGCACTGTAAATGACAGCAGCAGCTTTGACCACTTCGTACGCATCAGATGATAGAGCTACAAGTTCATTTTCACGTGTTATTACCATTCCATCTAAACTCCCAGTAGATGTCGTTCGTTGACGTGATTTTTCTTCAATAATACGAGCCATAATAGAACCACTGAAATTAAAATTGAAAGATTATAGTTTATATGTTAGAAAGAATTCAAGTCAAATATCCATGATAACACTTTAATTTATTAATCTAAATATATTGATATAATGAAAATAAAATTACTCTGAAAATTTCTACCAAATAATATCCAATTACAATCTGTAAATAAGATAGATTATACAGTAATTAGTAGTACTATCTAACTATTACAATTAAAAGAGATTGTTAAAGTTTAATCATTACATCATCTAACTGACTGTTATACAAACGTCAACACCTTACAAAAAACTCGAATGAAAATAATATGCAAGTTGATTACATTATTTCTTTAGTTTCAATAGTGTACAAATCCAATTAAGTTATATGTATTATACAAGACCTAGAATAAGATCTTATTTGGAATAAACATACAATGTACAATATATGATGTAACAAGTGTGAAATAGGCTAAAATCTTAATTTGGTTTTAGTCTGCTTTCGACAGAAAATGGGAAAGGTTTCCGAAGGCAACAGTCATAAGATAGTACATAAAATTCGTTCTAGACAATAGATAAACTTTAACTGACAACAAAAAACAGATACTGGGTGTGTAAACACACAAATATATACATAGTGTTTATTGAAACATAAAAATAAACGCTTACTGTAAGTCATGTGGCTAAATTTAGGAGTAACGTCAAAGTATATGCGTTGGTGTTCGGAAAACTTAAGTGATATATTACTAGGGATAAAGAAACAGACAAAGTAATAAGATCAATGGAGAAGGTAAATTCATGATCGGGAAATGAAACCTTGATAGTTTTCTGTAAACATTTGGTGAAGTTAATCAGTTTATTCGTCAACATATTAGAGTTTAGCATGAGTGGTTTTTACACACTTAAAAAGACAGTTGAGTTATCAACTATTTAACATCATGGCTTGAACTAAAGGTTTTCCTAAATGCTAAACTTTTTAGTTATAAGAAAGGATTACAATGAATTCGACTATACATAAGGAGTTTGTAAACATCCTCTTTATAGATTTAATCACTGAATACAACTAAAAGAAATAACTCAGAGATTAACTACGAGTCTTAGAAATGTTTTTGTACGAAATGTAACATAGATTTGAAAAAGACTATAGTGATAAATTTTCACAGATTACGTACGTTGGGACATGTAGATAGGCATGCGTACACAACGCCTACTTACGAGCACAGCAGCAGATTGGAAATAGACTATGTGTGGACAAAACAAGAAATGATACAATCCATCAGTTACTAGTATATATCTGCGGTAAGGATCCCTTAATTGATTCGTTTCATTATTATGGGAATGTAGACTCCATACTTCATATCTGCAAGGCAGCTGTGATCTATGGATATTCACTCTACATCAGTTAGTCAGTAATAAACAACGTAGAACCTAGCGAATATGTTCATTGTTTCAAGTTGCCACTCCATATCAGGACAGTGAGATGAAATTAGGAAGAAAAAATCAGATATAAACCACATGATTCCACAAGATATAATGAATTGACGGATTAAAAAACTTAACTTTATAAGTTAAGATTAATGGAAATGTAAAAAGCAAATATATCCGGTCCACTGTAATCGATTATGAACCTGGTCATCCCGGTCGCCGATCATCGGTTACGACAATCATACAGACCTCAACAAGGTATTCTTCACCCAAAATAACTCAGTCTACCAGTCAATGACTTCATGGACGAAAACAATATCTTGGACTAAAATTATATCTTGGTTCGGTTGCTCCTAACTCTCTTCTAAATACTTTCTAAACCGGCAAAACACCCTGACTATATTTGCACTATATTACTCTCTATCACTAACATAGTTTAATTGCATGCTTTTCATCGATTACTTTCATTTGCTTTTTTGTACTGTTTTCTTATGTTTGCTTATTTACTGTTCACAGCAATATTTTTACCCTTTCACTGAATCTTTTTCCTCTTTTCTCGTATGGAACGTGATAACTTGATGCAATACACATCCCTACAAGATTCCATGGTCTTCATACTTGTCTGTCTGAAAGACGATGAAAGTTCATGACAGATTACAGTTTTTGATCAAATAAAACAACTCCAAAAAGTCTTCAATATGAACTAATAAACATTTAGTTGGGTAGCAATTAAGTAGAAGTGATATTCTTTCAAGTTGAATATAAGACATGAATTTTAATTATACGTGAGCCAAATCATATGAATGTAATTAAAGAAGCACACTTACCGTTGAATTGCAATTTTTTTTACAGAATGATGTTTTGGTTTATGACTAGATAGCAAACAATTCAATTTGCACTTTTTTCGTTGGATTTGTTTCTTCTCTACTTCTTTTAATGATCTAATAGCTCTTATTCTTTCATGTACACTCACAGGACGAAATAACGCTATACCAACCTGTCGTTAAATATAACATATTTTTTCAACCAAAAAAGAGGAAAGAAATAAGTAAAGTACAGTGATAAATCACTTTTTATCAAATCAATAAACACTAAACAATGTTAATCTTATTTAGGGGTGATAAAACGAACTTTAAATTTGCTTGAAGGGATTTTTAAGATTAGTTTAATTTGTTGGTGGTATTCGTTAAGAACGGGAATCATTTGGGATGTCACAGCAACTTGAGATCGCCGAATAGTTGCTTTGTGCCAATGTGAAAATAACCAGTAGTACGCACTCAATACCCTAGTCCCAAGGATCGAATTCTACATAAACAACTAAACCAAGATACAATCCATCAGTTACTAGTATATCTCTGCGGTAAGGATCCCTTACAATATAAAACGTTGTTACTAGTGTAATTTCACTGTTATCTACCAATGACATTGGATGGTTGTAGCACTATCTACCTACTACTGGATTTCAAAACAGTAGTCTGAAGTTCATAGGGTTCGCTGTGTAACATGGAAACCTTAGGTCTGATCCTCAATTAGTCGTGTACGGGGCCAACCTGTGATCACTGGTTTTCAATGGTATGTTAGCTGATGTCAATCCGTGATTCAAATCAGTTACATAATGATTTTAAATCATTTTATATTCTCAAAACCTATTCTAATTTCTGAGATCAATCAAAAAAGTAGAATGTGATAGTGAATGAAACGGAAATTTGAATAAAGAGAACCACGTGATAATCTATACTTCATACTCTTAAAATATATACTTCCTAAGGTTTATAGTGAGATGGGGATGTAAAGTTCTAATACAAAGCTACCAGATTTAAAACATTTCTTTAAAGAAATAAGAACCCTTAATGTGTTAAAACAAAGCATATATATAACATCCCTAATTCTCAGCATTGGCACGATATATGCCTCATGTTGTCAAACGTAATGGTAGTACTGAGATGTTAAGCCAGTACAAAACACTCCAGATGTTCCTACCACTATTAATATTTTGTAACCACAATGTGTTGGTCATTAGAAATACCATGTATATCTACTAGTGGTTTGATTTTTCGTTACTTTAAATTTACTCTGGGAGTAAATCTTCTACATCGATTTTCTGCACTATGAAATCAAAAAATTGAATATAGAAATAAAATGTGATGTGTAATAGGACTTATACAGTTCTCATAACGTGGTTACATTAGATGAACCGATTCGTCTTGATAACATTACGGGCTTATTACGGAACAGGATATACACCGATAACTCTAATAACAGTTGAGACAACATATCCAACAGCTCCACTTGCATAGAACCCTCTAGCTACTCTGAAAGATGAATCGTGTTAAGATTTATTAAACGAGACCAAAGAAGACAGAGAAATAAGTAACCAAATACAACTGAAATATTCTGAAAAATAATGAACAGAATTAATGAAACTGAAGTGAAGTTGACTGGGTGAAAATCAGCTTAAATCGGTATGAGAAGATTGACTTTTCTTCTCATACGTTATATATGGGGACCAAATATCCCAACAGTATTACTGATAATTCTGAAAAATTCCATTGCTAAAGGGTGCCCCCAAACTCTGTTCACTGATTATATGACTTGAAACTTGATCAAAAGACTTTCTACCCGGTCTTTCAAAGTAAATAGATCGAGCTTAAGTTAATATAATTCCTTACCACTGATTTACTGAAGACATGCTTAGGTTGTTGGAATTCTATACTAGGTGTCTTGGAAGCATTTATCGCACAAACTGCAACCACGGAATAAATAATGTTGAGACCGAGCTCAGATTGCCAATTAAACATAGTAAGTCGGTCAAAGAGTAGTTCATAGACTAATAAGTGTTAGTTCTAGAAGTACCGGTGGGTGCATACTTTCTGTCTGACGAAAAAGTGATAATTGTGCTTAGTGATTAAATAACTAAAATCATATGGTTCAAAACCGGTCAATGTGTCAAAAATATATTCATTCCTTATCTTTCATCGAATATCGGCGTTTAATATTATTTCATAATCTTAGTTCACTAGTACATACATATATATACGCGATTTTTTATAGTACCCATTAATCACAATAAATAATATTGGCCTGTAGTCTCAAATGGCAACTTAATTTTGTCGATTACGGAGTAGTATATAACAGCAAGTGTATTTGACACAGTAAAATATTTAATTTCGAATAGTTTGATGAAGTCTCCTGAAACTTACTAAACCCAGATGTATTTTTAAATACTGAACCATAGCAACAACCTCAAAGGAATATGTCCTTGAAGCTCCGAACCCGTAATAATTATGTATATGATATCCCAAATGAGTGATATTTTTCACCTACATTAAGGAGATAAGTATTTTTGATATAACAGCTATGCTTACTTGATGGGTGCTAAAAACAAGTAGATTGGATAGGTACGTAAGTTGTATGTTTCTTAAGTGATAACACATTTCATTTTAGGAAACCTTAAATACTCATAAATGTATGTATTACCCTAAGAAAGACTACGTTTTATTAATCATGAACATTGCAAAAAATCTAAAACTTACTAAGGTTTGACTAAACAATCCACTAATGAGAATGAGACTACCACGCCATGAGAAATGAACTGCTAAATGAGGTGTAATAATAGCCATTAAACCGGCACCTAAACATCCACCACACATTACAATGCCAACAATGAAAGCTCGATGTTCTTCAAACCAATGTCCGATAACTGTAATTGCCGGTAAATAAACTAGACTACAACCGATTCCTAGGAAATAAAGATAACGATATTTAAATAATTAATAAAGCGAACCCAACAAGTTTATGTATACTTTTAGAAATTTGGTATTTTCTGCCTTTCCAATTTAAACAAATCAGAATACACATAAATATGCATTCAATCTGCTTCATGAGACCATAAATCTGTTATGCAGTTAATCTCCTAATATTGTTTGATTGTACCTTTTAATAACTTTTTTCCACGCTTATTAATCAAGAAAAAAGCTTCGTTCGAATAAGAAGACAGATCAAATAACATAGAGCAACTATTATAAAAACATTTAGAACAATTATAATTGTCACCTGTCTGGAGGAATACCATGTGAGCCAGGCTACGAATTTATTCCTTGTTTGCTAGCACGTTGAAATCACGAAATGGAAATGGTTAAAGATTCAAGTTTAGGCAAAGTATCCAATACATATCATAGTTTAGAGAAAAAACTTCATTGCGGTCCCACAAATATAATCTCTGACTGTATAAACTGTACAAACACTATAAAATATAACATAAAATCAAATCATACATAAGGACTGTCATGAAATTTTAATAGGTGCTGCAGATGTCTTGGAAGAAAGTCAACTATAACTAACAGAAGTATAAATAGTTATATACTTTAGTTTTACTCCGAAATACAAAATAACAGATTATGGAACCATTTAGACCATCTTTACCCAAGAAGCAGACAAAGTGAACTCTGCTGGTTACCATTAGAATATATCAATGATAAAAGTCTATCAGAAATAAAGGGTTTCAAACTACAGCCTCTATAGCTCATCTGTCATATTATCAGACCGGTACTTCAAATTCAACCACCATACATGTTTCGTATTATTCCTGTATATTTTTACATCTTAAACAAACACTGGAGAAAAAGGTAAATACTACAATCTCAAGTAATTCACTTACCACCTATTATACCAAATACAACGATGAATGTAACCAAATCATAAATGAACAAAGCACTTATTAGAAAGCATAATGAAGTAATGACTGCACCAACTGATGCAACTATACGATAGCCAAAACGATTTACCAGAGCACCCGTAAACGGACCTAATACAAAAAAGAGGAAATAATCACATAAAAAAGCTAGTCGCAAATATTGATATACTACCAACAAACTAAAAGAAACTTTTGTTCACCTAGTCCCAATGATGATATAAAAAATATTATTAAGTACAACATCAAAACCTTTATATATGATAGCTCGAGTTAAGATTTTATACAAAATAAATCGACCTTATATGATTATCTGTGGTGTTTGTATGAACTAATGATTCTTTTGTACTAGGTGTCTACCTGATTTCCAATTCCAAATACCATACGTTCGTTAGTGCTCACCTAGTTCTGTCTACTTAGATCGCACTATTTCGGAAATCCCTAGTTCGCACAATAATTCAAATACTTCTAATTACCACAGTATCATAAATATTAAATAAAACTAAAACTCAGAAACGACTGTTGAACAATAGAATCATATTAACAAATGGAGCATTCTAGAATTTTACCTATTGTTTTAAAAAACTGCAAAGTTTGTATGTTCCTTAAGCAGCCGTTATTGAAATCAGACATCTCGAATGAAGAAATACTTTCATACAATGCGTACTCATAGATCGCGAAAATATCTCGATTTTTCTAATCACTTTAGATGTGCTTTTTAGATTTACTGGTCACCAATATTTAGATTTATCAAATTAAATGCTACTTTTTATCAAACGTTTAAATATCAATAATACTATAGGCCGTTATCTGTTTCAGTAATGCTGATTTAAAACAAGTATCAAAAATGTCCCATCTCTATTTTCAATTAGTTTAGTTGAAATTGATAGTTGTAACCTCTATATCGGATTACATTCTCAGTTTTAGTATCTCAACAACCTAAATAATCGTGGAATAAATCCATAAGAATCTATTTGGATTTTTTCATTCGAAACTATGTCATTTCAACAGTGGATTCAAACATAAATAATGGACTAACTATACAGCTTAGCATTCTATCTAAAGCTATCCGAGCGCAAGGGTAGACGAAATAAAAATTCTCTAAGTATGTCATTACTCACTCGTAAGTGACCACAGAGTGAAGAAGTAGATTAGGGGTAGGGCAATAGACATGGAAGACAAGTTGAAAGAAAACTTAAAATATTCTCTACTTAATTCTTAGGTTGAGTACTACCAATTGACAGTGGAAGTTAGATACTGACATTGAGACTGAAACTTACAACTTATTTTACATAACCGTAACGAAATTTGAGATAGAAGCATCAGGTCATTACTGGCGTCTTTTAGCCATCTTCGACGAAAAATATCCAACCTATTACTTCCAGCTAAATCTAATAACATCTAAACGGCCCAAATGGCTGGTGCTTCGAGTAAATAAATGGTCAAAGCCCTATTAAGATAACGACAGAGAAATGTCTGACAACTATGGTCGTCAAGATCATATCCACGTCACACTCAAACGAAGCTCAGGAGTAGCGAACGCAAAAAACCGCACATGTTTTTTACATGACCGGTAGACAAGTCGATCGAATCTTCACCCTTCACTAAGCTTTAGAATATAGAAACCCTTACAGATACTTGATTGTAGATGCATTCTTTTCTCTAAGGACGAAGTTTATCTCTATGGTACAAGAATTCTGATAATAAGTATAATAATGTATACCAAAGAAGTATGTCAATCCAATAAAGCCCCTTTACTCGTTCTTTTGGCAAGAACAGAGTTCACTGATGGACGAACTTCTGAGTTGGCTACTTTAAGTGATGTCTATCAGAGCTGCCCAATCTCCTTTTTTATACTATATACTTCAAACCAGATCTTTCTTAGTCTAAAATAAATCCACCTGGAAACCCTGGTTATATCAAAGTTAGTAAACGATAGTTTTGTTTGATGAAGACACTAAATACATCGGCTTTTAAATGTTTTGAGTGGTTATACAAGAATATTTCGAATGGGTTAATTTTCTTTGAAATCAAAATAATCCATCAGATTTTGGCTGTTTCAATGGTCATTGTAATCCTGTGTAGTGAAGTAGTTGACAATGTTAACCATTCTACGTAGCTTGATAATCTTATCAACCCTGACGATAGGTCACTGATGAAAACTCGGGATTGTACAAAAATATCGCACAACATCTGCATAAACTAAGCGGAGGATTGTATAGTTACATAGCTGAGAGAATCGGTCTATGAAATCAAAATTTATGTTTAAGTTGCAAGTGTGTGGTATTTCATTCATATCATTACTTTCATATAGTGAAACCATAAAGAGGGTAATGCTAACGTTATGCTTTCAAAGTTACAGATAGCTTGGATATCCTGCAAATTTCTGTTGACTGATGTGCTTGAGACAAACGTTATACATAGCAACCCAACGATCTATCATATTGCTTTGTGATGGCTTGCATAAAAAAAACTAGGAAAAAAGTGGCATCATATTACGAAAGCAATAGGTGCATGAGAGAATAGTGAAAGAAAGTTGAAGGCCTCTTGGCTATGGTTCGCCGGATATTGTAGTCTGTGGTCAAAAATTACTTGAAGTATTTCTGTCAGACGCAATTACTATAAAACGCTCTTCATTTAACAAATCTTTAACTTGTCGTCTATTGGATACTCTCATCAGTTCTTAGTTACCTATTTTCTGGACTGTTCTTAGTTTTCCATTATTATTTCTATTACTCTCTTTACAAGTTGTTCCTTATCATTTCACTTTCCTTACGCATCACTGCTGATAATAACAATACTTCATGTCCAATAAGATGATTATTATGTTATAAGCAGTAAGGTGGGAAATTAAAAAAAAATTTGAGGCTACACAACTCAAATTAATGTATAAGAGTCCCAATTCAACAACAACTAATCACTAAAATTAAAGATAATTAATGAGGTAGTAAACAGATATTGACGAAGATACTAAATATGTGCCACAAAACAAATAACTGAACACATGGACTCCATACATTATCTCAAATGTTATAGTATAAACATTTTGTAATAGGCCTTTTGTAAAGTAAAATTGTTTGGAATAATCCAATGCACTGTTTCCCCTAAAAAATAACAGATGTTTACCTACCGAATAAAAAATACATCCCACACAGTAATGCTCCAGGCAAGCTTAACAAAGCTAAAGATGGTTTTCTTTGTGACTCATTTGAGTCAGATGGATCTATTCTGAACTGTCCTTCGTGAATCATTTCATTAATGTGTAGACCAAAAGTGAAGCACACACCATCCACAGCAAAGATGCATAGAAAACTCCCTAGTGCAACAAGCCAACCCCAACCACCATTTGGAGCTGGTTCACGTAAAAAATCTAAGAATGGAAAAATAATTGTTGATATGAAGTGATACTAGCACAGAAAAATGTAATTGAATAGTGAAGTATGTAAATAGTATACTCCAGACTGAGATAAAAAGAATTATAGTATTAGCGATGGTCTGGAAGTTACATGGTATGATAATAAACCATATCTAGTGACACTTAGAATGGTGGGAGTAGCACATCTTGAACCAAGAAACGACTACTCTCCAGTACCTTAAATTCAGCTAATGCCAAGATATTTGACTGTATGGACCCGTAAAAAATTCAATACCATAGAAATAACCTTTAGAAAAAAAGTGATATCATTTTGTATGTCTACTGCTTGATATTTATTCACATATCCAGTCAGTCGGCCAGCAGTTGTCTTCTGGAATTCAATGAGACAGGTTTGAAGACCGGTCCTCTCAGTAAATCTTCAGTTAAGGAGTCGCAATAATATCAGTATTCTATTATTCGAAGCATTATAATAAGTAGGTAATTTTTTGTTATGAAAAAGCATGGATGTCCAAAAGATATACGAAAAAAACAAGAATGCACTGCTACTTTGAAAGACTCTCTCTTTGTATTAATTTTCAAAATGAGTTTATGAACTGCATAAAATAGGGTTGGGATATTGACTTATTATTTTTCGTATCAACCGATTCAGTCTTTGAAGATTGTAAGAAAAATAACTGGAATGTCATTTAACGTCGATCATTTAAAAAAATTGACTGTTTCCTCAGAATTCAGAGTATCACGTTTAAAAAATGACCGAAATAAGATCGGCCACTGAACATTATAATATAGCTAGTAACACAATATCTTAGTTATCTAGCAATTTATAAATTTTAACTAGTGAACTAGCCTAAGTACCTAAATGTACGAAACGGTAGCTTAGTGGTTGAGGTACTGGAATTTCAACAAAAATACGTCGCTGCTTTGAAGCCCGTTCCACCCACTTCAGTTCAGGTATAGTTATCCCTAACATTTATGGACTGTGCCTCAAAGCCAAGCACATCAACCAGTACTTGATGAGATATTATTTAAGCCTACTTTCGCAAAGTTTATTGATGAAGTAGATAGATATAGTAATGGAAGTTCAAATGCTGTAAAAACGGTGGATGATAACATTTTGTAAATGTTGACCTACAACACAGTTCGGTGTCAGGACCAAGGTCTCAATATCAGTACGTTATAACCGGACAGAAATTTGTAGACATCATGAGACGTGCATAATTAAACTACAGTGAGTTAAGATTTTATTACAGAAAACTAAATTTCACAGCAATAATTGATACGTAGACGATTAATGTCCTAATTTTTGGCTTTACTGACCGTAATATTCAGTAAGACGCATGACTCTATAGTACCATAAAATCCCACAATATTAAAAACATAGAAATTGTAAACGTGGAACAAACCTTCATTTATTTCATATCCTTCTTTATCTGAGACATGAGGTCGAATATTTCTAGTTGGATCACTAGGTGGTTTAAGATTTTCAACAGGATTATCAGTGGTTCTTGATGGTTGGGTAAATTGGTGATCAGAATTTGTAGATAATTGGGCTGATGTCTCACCAGGAAAATCAGTTATCTCTTGAGCACATGGTGGTTGTAAATGTAAATCAGGTACAACAGGTTGTGAGTACAAAATGGGTTTCTGTTTACAGTAATCAATTGAAATAGATTTCACAGGTTCATTAGACGATAGGCTGATATGTTTTGTTTGATGAACAGGCAGAACGGTGGAATTATGTATTTCATCAGCAATACCATAACCATCATCGCTTCCGATATAAAACTGTTGAATAGGCAAAGTTGGAGCTGAACTTTCTCGGTGAACACACAGCATAGTCTTCAAAAATAATCTTCAAGAGATTTCATGCGTCATATACTAAATTAAATAGTATAATATAACATTGTTATATGTTTACATAAGTAATTAAAACTATCAATATTTAAGTCTCACTGAAACTCTTAATTGTAAGTCAGACAGGAATTTTCAGGAGCTATAACGGCAACTAGATGACCATTCAAACCTTAAACCTGTTTGCTCTAACTAGGAGAACCATCAGGAATAGATAATTAAACAAGGAAAATGCACATCAGAACGGATGAAAAGTAAACACTCACCAGTGTAAAAAAAATACTAATGAAGACTGATATTGATATGGCGAGCTAATAAGTAGCTCAATGAAAAGGTCAATCGACAACAATTAGAAACAACCTGAAGGACAAGTGCATTTCATTGGCTAAGGAACTGACCAATTTCCTAAGGACAAGAGCGATATATATATATATATAAATGAATATTTATGTAATTTATTCGGCAGCTCAATACACTTTTTCGCTCATTCTTGAGTTCTCACTCAAGTAATCAGTCGGAGAGAGGGAGTTAGCCTGTAGCACACTGTGTATCACTAACAGATTTTGGATAACGCCCAACAAACAGACATAAGTTGAATAACTATAAAAAGCTGTCTAGTTTTAGTTTAGGACTCATCAATGATGCAAAACAGTGGCTCCAGAAAAATTAAGCCAAGAACTTCAATGTCTTAAAAGTGCGTTTACTGTTTGCCATCAACGTGAAGTGTTTATTTTATGAATCTACAGAATAATAGTTTGTAGAAACCTGGGTTCCAAGTCAGTAAATAATAAGCCCCCAAATGTCCTGGTATGGCCGAGAGTGGGGTGAGTCCCCTCACCCTCTCGAAATGCTCTCACATGGCCACGCGTATATAGCCTCTGCCAGGGAAGTCCTATCGACTGCCTTCTCGTGGCAGGGGTATTGTTTACGAAAATGAGAGGACGAAAAGCGTATGTCCAGCGCTTTAACCGGATTCCAAACCAATGTTGCACATGGGCTCCAGTATCCTGAGTGAACAAATGGCGTATGAACCAATCGTTGATCACCGGCTTCCATGGGACTGCATCTCCTTACGATGCTACACTGCCTTGTGGATCAGACCTTCAGGTCGAAGGCTGTGGGTGTGGCCCCCTAAGAAAACTACGTGCTTCGGTTTGGGCACCCGGACAGTATCACATCCCTCACACATATTGAATGAGATTTGTGTGGCGCATATGCATTTGGTGTCTCCTTGTACCAACATCTGTGTTAAAATAAAATAAAGCAATACAAACCTAGTATAAATATCCATCGAACCCAATTCCAAAAACACATTAGTACAGAGACAAAGTCAGAATGCTAGTAAAGTAGTGCAGAAGCCAGCAACAGCAAAAAAAACACAGAGGATATGACTCAAGAAAAAGGGAGAATTTCTACACTACAAAAAGCATAAAATAGATTACAGTCCCATAATTCTGGAGAAAACAAAGACTGAACGCACCTGAGCCATCACGACTGATTCTCAGTCACGCCACACAACATCTATAACCATCGATCACGATAGTTGCACGGTCGCTAACTAGATAGTCTGTACTTACCAAAATGGCTTAGTCAAACAACCACTGACTTCGTAGAACTATGGGCATCCCAATGGTTAGACCGCTCTCAGCTTCATCTCAGAGGCTACTTGTTAAGTAACTCGATATTCTCAAGAGAATTTTGGACAATTAATACAGTTTAGTGTGATATCAATATTAATATGCCTACATTATATAAGGAAGTACTGAGATACCTCAATGGACATATATCCATTGGATTCTAATAGCGTTGTTTGAAACAATGTACCATCCTGAGATAATAACTGGCAAAAACAAAACACATCATCACAATAAAGGAAATAAAGAGAGAGAATAATGGTTGCTAAGACAGAAACTGCAAAAAAAGATTGAAAGTAGTCTTACTCCGAACGAATAGATATTTTTAAACTTAAAATTGGCATTCATAGAACGAAAGTTCTAGGCGGCTTAAAATTTAGGAATAACATCTAGCTATAATTAAAAAACAGTGAGCAAATAATTCAAATTTCAGTACATATAAAAGTAGATGGCTGCAAACCCACCACAGTGACACAAGAGTTAGAGCAAACTGTGGTGAACAGGCAGAAATTAAATAATGAAGTGGCAACATAGATGTATAAAAAACATACTTTACACCTTCCGTTAATGTGAAAAGTACTTTACTCACGTAAAAGCAAAAACAACTACTTGGAATCAAAGTGTGCGCATCTTTTCTGCTAGACGAGTACATTTAGCTCGTATTATTCGGTCTAAACAATTTTGGTACTCACTAATCAGCAAGAAGAAGGGTACATCGGTTGGCCTCTAAAGTTCATCACAGTGTGTTTTTAAGTATGAACCAACTTGTTTTCTGCATTCATTCACTCACACAGCTGATACCACCTGTTCGGATAGACTTTTAGTCCCTAACAAATGGTTCAAATGGCTCAAATGGTTGTGGACGGAATAGAAGAAGCTTTCACTTAACAGGCTCCCGAGTCTTGTAGCAGGGAATCACGAATAACTCCAGGCAGGAACCTATGCATGTCAATGATAAAAGAGGAAAAGGAAATCGCTAAGTCATAATATGATACTATCCTTAGACTTTAGGAATAGATATAGTCGACTCTTAAAGGACTCTTGGGAAATCGCTTGAGCTAGCTCGGCCGGCAGCGAATTCTAGCATTTGACAACTCTTAAGGAGTACCAGTTGTGTCTACAGTCTGTTCTGTTATGTTGTGTCTCCAATTTCTGGGTGTTACCCTTTAGGTTGGTATTGGGACTAAGCTTAAGTAGATGTTTATGAGGATGTCCAGAAGTGTTAAGGATACTGTAAGCCACTGAAAGTTCACCTCTAAGACCCCTATATTCTAATGGGTAAAGGTTAAGTGATTGGAGGTGCTCTTCATTAGGTCCTTGGACTGATTTCGTGGCTCTAAATGGAGACGGATAAAACTATTGAAGATTATCTCGAAAGGTTATCCGTCAAACTGGCCAAAAATGCGCTTCAATGTTATCAGTGCAAGGATTGCTCGATAGGCATTTTTGTCACAGTTAGCGTAAGACTTAAAATCATAGGGTATCAGGACTTCTAAATCCTTTTCGACTCGGGATGCTACTGGAGAGCAGTTTCCTAAGTTGTAACTATAGTCTGCAACATGTCAAAATGGACTACTTTACACTTTGAAGTGTTAAAGGCAAGTCCGTTATCGTCTGCTCAACTTTGAAGTCGAGTCAGATTCTACTGAAGTGCCTGTATATCTTCTTGGTTGCGTATCTCTCTTCAAAGTTTCACGTCATCAGTAAAAAGCAATGAGTCTGACAACACCTGTTGAGGAAGATCATTTATGCAGATCAAGAAGGGAAGAGGTCCTAGTACTGAACCGTGGGGGAGCGCACTAGGACATTCCATCGCCCTGACCTTAAAATGTCGATTTTTCAGATATGAAGTGAGCCAATCAGTTTGAGGTGGTCTGATACCCAATCGTTTGAGCTTATTGATAAGACATATATGGTTAACCCTATCAAAAGCTTCTGAGAAATCAAGGTAAATGATATCAACCTTCCCCTTGCGATCGAGGATGCTTGTCCATCTGTCCACCGCAGTCAGCAGGTTGGTTATACAAGAGTAACCCTTCCTGAAACCATGCTGTTTAGGTGAGCAGAAATTTAAGTACAGTAAATAGTCATGTATACCATCGCATATCAGGGACTCCATGATTTTTGAAGGTATAGAGAGAAGAGCCACCGGTCGCTAACTTGAAGGTTCGCTGCATCGACCTCGTTTGAAAATTAGTGTGATGTGAGCCAGCTTCTAATTTTCGGGTAGTTTGCCTCGGCTTAGCGAGTGTGAGAACATCACGCTAAGCAGTGTTGCCAGGATTGAGGCTGCTTCCCTCAGTATAGCAGAATGAACCATATCTGGACCAAGAGTTATGTCTTTTCTTAGGTTCTGCAGGTTCCGGAACACCAAGTCAGCGCTCAGGGTCACTACAGAAAGTCCTGTGCAGTTGCAAATGAAGCTTTCAGCAGCATAGTTGATGTGGGTCGGTTGAAATGTCCGAGAGTATTGTTCAGCCAAAGGGTTAGCGGCCATTAGGACATAGCATTTAGGAAACTCCAGTTTTGGCTTGACGAAGAGAGACTGCATAACGGAATAAGCTCTTCGGATTGGAGACGAATTTATCCATAAGCTTTATCTGGTACTGAAGCCTGTCTTCTCTTACAGCCTTCATGCATATGTTCCTCATATGTTTGTATTGCCTGTACGCCCCATTGTTGTCAGTTCGTTCCTATTCTCCCCAACAGTGCCTTTTGCGGCTTGATGATTGTAGGTTGCTTGTAGTTTCTGGGGACCGTTTGAGGAACTGACTGCTTTGTAGAACATGAGAACATGTGCAGTAAGAAGTCCCAATGAGCATCCACATTGAGTTGAGGGTGAACATCCCAATCCACCTGTTGCAGATAGTCCTGTAGAGTTGACACATTTAACCGTTTGAAATTCAAGCGCATGTTGTTGGTGGAATATTTTAGCTCAGTTTCGCTGACAAAACTGAAGGCTATGACGGCGTGATCGCTTTTCCACAGGGGAGCCGGTATTGAGAGGTTGTCAACTAGAAATTCTTCGTTTGTAAATACACAGTTTAAGCGCGACGATGTCTGACTGTTTCTCCAACGAGTTGCCGACTTTACGTTTTCGTATAATCCCAAGTCCTCAATGAGGTTGAAGAACCGAGCTTAAGTTGAGTTTTCACCTAGGGAGATTGAAGTCAGGATATGAGCGAAACCGAGACGCGTAGAGTGGGATATTCCTTCCAGCATACGCCTGTCATACTCGTTGTGGGCTTCCTATATATGACTCCGAATAGGCACCTCGAAGTAATAGGCAATCTAACAGAGCACCATATGGATTCCTCAAGATTGTTAAGGTTGGTATACCTCCAAGCAAGATCGTATGTATACGGCTACTCCAACCCTAATTCCTGTTTTTCTGTCGTTGCGAAACAAAGACATCCCAGGTATTGCTAGCTCCTGGTCCGAGAACTGAGAAGGTATCCGAGAGAAAATGCAGTCTCATTCGAGGGACGTTTTTGAGTCCCTTAAAGATAACGTCCATGTTGGGTAGTTTACTGACGTTGTCACGGTCAAGGACAAATTAAACGGGTTGAGTGATTTCACTATACAGCTCCGGTTTTGTGGTAGTATCCAAGCAATTTACTCCTTTGAATTGTTGTACATTAAAGCACGCTAGATCATAGATGAAAATTAAAATCTCGGAAAGCACTTCGTAGACGATGGCAGTTACTCATGACCGTCTTACTGGTAGTTTTAGTGGTGACATTCTGCAATGTCTGATAGAAATTGGATTCACCAACCCGAGTTAGATCATCGAAAATTTTCTGTTGTTGAGTGTATTCTGTCCTCAGAATAATATATCTATGCTGATTACTCACGATTCATGAATGAAGATTTGACACTATAACTCAATCCCGTTTTCTTATGAGCTGGGTAGTCCTTTACGCATATATCAATCGACCATGCTTCACGAAGACACCATAAAAAATGGACGTCGAATGTATAAGATTCGAGTTATCTATTTTGTCTATGCTTCGAGCTTTTGATTTTTTCGTTGCTTTTATAGTGATAGGACGTCTAAAAGTAGGGAGAGCAGAACCCCTGATTGGTAAGAAATGGCTCGGCCATGCAGATTTCGTCACTATATGTGACTTATTCATTCACACATTCTATTCGTAGCCCAGATGTATTACTCAGATGCGCTGAACATTATACAAATGACTGTCATGATGGGACGATTAAGTGTAGACAATGATGTGAATTCTGCGTAGAGTTGTAGTGGCATTGGACAATAGCCACACAATCCACAAAGCTGTGAACACGAGACTACTCAGAAAATAGATATTCAATATTTAACTCGGGGAGCGCTAATTTCAAAAAGGGCAGTGATTTTTTTACTTGTTGTGATTATACTTGCTTTTGGTACTTATTGCACTAAAAAGCATTCTTGGTCTACTTTAACTAAGAGTTCTTTGGTTAAAGTTTGAAATTTTTGCTACATTTTGTCCTGGGTACCTGTTTTTAGTCCTTGACTAAGACTTGTGTTCACATTGTTATCGTTTTTTGTTTTTAAACCTTTAAAATCGAATTACAATGGTTGGTAAGACTCACAAATGTGGGCAACCAAATTGTTTGTTCTCCGTTGAGGAGGGAATGCAGTGTGACGACTGTAAAAAGTGGTATCACAAAATGTGTACACGACTAAGTCCGACGGCTTACAAAAGATGCTCGAAGCCTAACTCGCATTGGCTTTGTGTGTTCTGCTGTACAGATAAAAAGGTACTAATACAGGAGGCTATGGGCCTATTGGCTTTGGCCTGCAAGAAAAACGATGGCGGGAGCACTGATAACAGGAGTACTGACGATGAAGAATGTGTCAGTGTAGTGATATTCAAAATGTCACTTGACCAAGGTGTGTTACCTATGGACTGGAAGGACGCAATCGTCACTCCCATACATAAAACTGGTCTACGACAAGTTCCATCAAATTACAGACCCGTAAGCCCCACCAGTGTTGTAATTAAAATACTGGAAAGGATAGTCAAACGGACCATAACAGCATTTATGGAAACCAATAACTTGCTGAACATGGCACAACATGGTTTTAGAAAGGGTCTATCCTGTACAACGAACCTCTTTATAGCTAGGGAGCTCTGGATTAACGCGCTAGACAACGGAAACTCAGTGGATGTTGTCTACATAGACTTCAGTAAGGCTTTTGACAAGGTGCCAACTAATAGACTGCTATTGAAGTTGGCAAACCTTGGTATTGCCAGACCTCTTTTAAAATGGATTAAGGATTTCCTAGTAGGTCGTAGGCAAAAAGTAAGAAAAAATTCCAAGTGCTCCATCTGGAGACCAGTACTTAGTGGAGTACCCCAAGGTTCCGTGCTAGGTCCTTTATTTTTATAATGTACGTTAATGATCTTACAAGTATAGTACAGTCTCCAATGTTATTATACGCTGACGATGTAAAAATTTGGCGAGTAATAACTGGAGACAAAGACGCATTTACTCTTCAGGCGGACTTAAATAATATGATAAACTGGTCTAAAGAGTGGATAATGCCTATCAACTCGGAAAAGTGTGTCTACATGCACTTGGGGGATTCAAAGGTTAATACACACAACATAGGGGATGTGTCATTACCCGTAGTCCGGTCTCATAAGGATCTAGGGGTGACAGTCAGTAATGATCTTAAGACAACGGCCCATTGCCGGGAGATCGCAGTTAAGGGGTTTCGAACCCTCTTGGCTTTAAAAAGGACATTCAC